AGGTCAGATGGTCGGAAACCATGGCCAACTACAATTTTAAGATTTCATATGTCAAAGGATCAGAAAACGCTAGAGCCGACGCTCTTAGCCGAAAACCAGAATATCAAGAAAATAAGTCGTACGAATCGTACGCTATATTCAAGAAAGAAGGCGAATCACTGGTTTACAATGCACCACAGCTTGCAGCTACTCATATATTGGAAGACAACCATCTCAGGAGTCAAATCCAATCACATTACGACAAGGATGCTACAGCTATACGCATACGCAAGACAATAGAACCAGGATTCACGATAGAAAACGAGATCATATACTTCCACGGAAAAATATACATTCCTAGTCGAATGACTAAGGAATTCGTGACGGAACAACACGGGTTGCCGGCACATGGACATCAGGGAATTGCGAGAACATTCGCAAGATTACGGGAAATCAGTTACTTCCCACGAATGAGAACGATAGTTGAAGAAGTTGTTGGAAATTGCGATACCTGCATACGGAATAAGTCCTCTAGACACGCTCCGTATGGTCAGCTCCAGACCCCAGACATGCCTTCTCAGCCATGGAAGTCCATTACATGGGACTTTGTGGTCAAACTACCACTCTCGAAAGACCCTACTACAGGAATCGAGTACGACGCTATACTCAACGTAGTAGACAGATTGACAAAATTTGCATATATGATACCATTCAAAGAAACATGGACTGCTGAGCAACTAGCATATGTATTCTTTAGGGTCATAGTAAGCATACATGGAGTACCAGATGAGATAATCTCGGACAGAGACAAACTCTTTACCTCGAAATTCTGGACTACCTTATTAGCACTTATGGGTATCAAGAGAAAGTTATCGACATCTTTCCACCCACAAACAGATGGTCAAACAGAGAGGACCAATCAGACAATGGAAGCATATCTTAGATGCTATGTAAATTACCGACAGGACAACTGGGTAGAACTATTACCTATGGCACAATTCGCATATAATACATCAGAAACGGAAACCACAAAGATTACACCAGCACGCGCGAACTTTGGGTTTAATCCTAAAGCATACCAAACACCGATACCACAGGAAGTTAATGCCGAATCAGCAATAATACAAGTCGAACAATTAAAGGATTTACAAGAGCAGCTTGCTCTTGATCTAAGATTCATATCTTCCAGAACAGCAGCGTACTACAATACGAAACGTAGTATGGAACCTACGCTTAAAGAGGGGGATAAAGTTTACTTGCTACGACGAAACATTGAAACCAAAAGACCAAGCAATAAACTCGACCACAGGAAACTAGGACCATTCAAGATTGATAAGGTAATAGGAACCGTCAATTATCGGTTAAAACTACCAGACACGATGAACATCCACCCAGTATTCCACATATCCTTGCTCGAACCAGCACCACCAGGAGCGCCGAATGCGCCATTAACGGAAATCGAACCAGTCAACCCGAACGCCATATACGATGTCGAAACAATACTAGATTGTAAATACGTCAGAGGCACAATCAAATATTTAATCAAATGGTTAGATTATCCACACACCGAAAATTCATGGGAACCAAGAACAAACCTCAACTGCCCTGAGAAGTTGGAGGCGTTCCACCAGCAATACCCGGATTTGCCCAGAAGGAAGGAGAATCCATTGAAGCCAGGATCGAAGGGTCCAAAGAAGAAGAGTCGAAAACAAAGGAACCATCGCTAGGGCCAGCAGCAGAGACAGACGCCAACTCCTTTTCCTTCTCTACACACTCTTTTTCTAGTAATTCATCCAGTTCATCCAATGAGCGAACACCACGACGAAGCATTTCAGAACCCCGGTCACGAAGTGTCTTCTGTTTTTTGCGAATTTCCATACGACGACGGAAGGCTTCCTGTTCCGCGAGAGCAGCAGCTTCCTCCTCGGCCTCAAGACGAGCTTCCTCTCGAGATAGAACATCCCAGTCAGAAGGAGAAAGACCAGCAACATCACACTTCATAGAACCAGAGCGAACGCACTCTCCACAACGTTTGGATTCAGGAAGTGTGCGGCATTGCAAACCATTCTTTTCACAACGAGAACAAGGCGCCATAATATTTCCTTTGTCTCTGATTTTTTGGCTTAGACGACGACGATTAAGTGTTGAGCGAGAATCACTAGTGATAGGCATAATGAAAGGAAATAAAAAATCATTATGATATGGCTATGTGGGGAACACATGACTATATAACGCTCGGGACAAGCGCTAGGATAAGAAGGGGATAGTGTTACGAACGACGCAACATAGGCACGGGACTGGGGCACTAAGTCACGTGGTTGGCTCAGTCTGCCTCAGCGGGATAGACACTGAGCCATGAAAGTACAAACAAACCAGTACTGAGCCGTACTGATCACACTGAGCAAGAAGGTCTATATAAGGGAATGGGTTTCATTACAATGTAGAGCTTCGTGCTCAAGAACAATCATTAGTTTCATTACTATAGTTACGAGAATTGCAACCAGTTACCAACCTTATTGAATCCCTACTTGAAGTCTAGTCTAAACCACCTCGAGAGATCTCTAGACACTTCCACGTGACCCTAGAGGCAGCTCCCGTAACATATATACTTATAAATAAAGTTTTTATATATACTCTATTTACTTTTATCTAAATATATTACTTCTATTCTTTTATTTGTACATAGATCTTTTTGATATTATTCGAAAAAAAATAAAAAAATTTACCCTTAATTTCTTAATTATAAATTACAATTTGATAAATCTTATGATTATAAAACTTTATAGTAAAATGATTTATTAATAAGATGAAATCTTATTCCTATATTTTCTAATCCTTAAGCATACTTTTATTACTCAAATACCTTTTCGATTGAAACTTTTTCTTTTTAATCTCAAAAAGTTTAGTAGTAGTTTTCAGAAATTTGATATATAATTACTTTTGATTTAAATAAAACTATAAGTAGATAGTATTATAGTTAGTAATTCTATTATTTAATTTTATTATATTTATTTTAATCTCGAATCTTATATATAAGTTATAGTATTACCTCAATTTTCTTTTCTTAATTAAAATGTTCTCTTAGATTATATAATAATCCTAAATTAATTTATACATATCTATAATAATATGAATAAAGTATAGAAAGTTAAAAATAAGTTATTCAACTTTAAGCAAAAAACTAATTCTTTATATACCTATATTATAAAATTTGAAAGGACTTTTTATAAAGCAAAAGATTAAAACTGATCTAATTCGAATAAAATTTTAATCTTTTATAATAAACTTAATATTATTCTTAGAAATTGTTTTTCTTAATAGCTTTCATTATCCCACTTATATCCCAACTTTATTTAGATTATATAATAATTAATTATATATATAATAAATGAATTCTTTATATTATTCTATTTTAATAAACTTAAAGTTTCATATTTATTATAAAATCCATTTTACTCTTAAAACTACAATTTAATAAATATTAGTAATCTTAATATCCTTAATACCTTTAATATTTTTTTAAACAAAGCTGATTATACCCCGATCCTATCTTACATTAAAGTACCTAAATTCTCCCCTATTAAAAGAACTCAATTATATAAGGAAAACAAGTATATTCAATATAAAAGTACTTTCTATTAAATACAAATCTATTTACTTGATCTATATTAAGATATTTAAAATCGAAAAGAATTTGTTTTAATTGTTACATTTATTTTTATTAACTTTTATAATAATAATAATGATAAGGATTTAAATAAGATAATCAATAATTAATATTTTGAAGATTATTTGAAAGAGGTATAAGCTTCTATTAATGCTTTTCATTTGATAATAATATATTTAATCTTTTAAAATATTTTATAAAAAATTAATAAAGAAAATGATAATAATAATAATGAAAAAGAATTTTATTAATTATGTTTTATACTTAAATCATTTATTTAAAATAAGTTTAAAATAAACTCTTTAAAAGAAGGGGGTAATATTATAATATATATATAATTACATTCAATTAGACTAATACGATATTAAACTCCAAGCCAATCGCATATATAGCTTTATAGTATACTCTCTTTAGTTCTATAGCTTTTAATTCTAAGGTTGATTTTTAAACGTTTATTAGGTCCGTTACATTAGTTAAATAATATAGAAGCTAGAAATAACTGTTTAGAATAATATAGTTTATTAGTACGTATACTCCTCTTTTAATATATAAAATTTATCTATATGTAACTATACACTTTCTTTATATATAAAATTTATCTATATATAACTATATACTTTATTTACTTATAAATAGAATTTTCTAGAAATTGAATATATAATATATAAATATATAAATACCATAAATTTCTAATAATAAATTGAAAATTCGGATTATTATAATAGTTATTATAAAAAGATTTTTTTATAATGAAAACCGTAATAATTTTTACTTTTCTTTAGAATATAATAAGAATATTCAAATAAAAATTAATATTTTGAATATTTAATTTTCTATCATTATTAATTATTCTTTCTTCTTAAAAAATAATCATTGATTATCAAAATGTAAATATTGAGAAAAGCTTAATTTTACTATTTTTTAAAGTAGTATATATATTAATATAATACACGTACTAATAAACTACGTTATATAGAAGAGCTATAATATTATAGGATTGGGGACCCAGGCTTATTTATAATTTGAGGTTTTTCATCTTATTTATAGGATTCTATTGTAATTCCTTAGTGTAGCTTGTCTTCAATACCCCTTGGGAGGCCTCCCCCTGAATGTTAAACAATTACCATATCATATTATACCATTCTCTCTTCTCCTCACACCCCACTCCAGTACCTACTACCTACCTACCTACCTACCTAGGTCAGCACTTTACCATACACCAAAACGCGGGGACGAAAACTTACTAGCTAGGTACCTACATCAGATACCCCAGAATCATACATACATATATACATAGCTCATAATGATTTACATCAATCCGCATGTTCTTCCCTTCATGTTCACGTCTCACACAACCAGTATTCACAAACAACAATTCATTCTGATATGTTCATCATTCAAGTGAACTCTTGATGGTATTAATATCCTGCCTCTTGATCAGGCCTAATAGCAAAACCCAAGAGTAGTTTACTTTTTAAATCCTACTATTAACATTATCCATTCCTTTCCATTCTCCCACCCCATGCAAACCCTCTTGTAATTTGATTCCATAGTCAGCATGAGAAGAGCCTTCAGCAACATCCTTCAAGACCACCACCTTGCCATTCTTATAATATGACGCCGTATCCAACCAGTGAACCAATAACCCTTTCACAAAGTATTCTCCTATCCCATTGATCGTATTGATCTTTTCCATCCATGCATGTATTGCAGGTATCATATTCCCTGTAAACTCCGTCGCTACACAGATAACCATAATGCAAGCACTTTTATTCTTTTGTGGGTCGCTAGACCACACTCCCCATTAACTTAAAATATCCTTCATGTTGTTTCATCTGAACCATCTTTTCACGTATACCATCTCTCCATCTTCAAGCCTTGGACCTGGTTCCAAAAACTGCAGCCATAAAACTTTTTCTTCTCCCCAACTTCTGTACATTCAACGTCTTGGTATCCTGTGCATGGCCATTACTTTGCATAGGCGGTAATGGTGGTGTTGCCCTCGAACTGACAGATGGGGTATATTCTTCACGAGTTTGCAGATTCCGGGATTTTTGACTCTTGGAGGACTTTGCAGCCTGTCTCTTCTTACTCTTGACACTTCCCGATGAATGCAAGTTGCGGAATCCCGAGGCCTCATTTGCAACTTCTCGTTCCAGTTCTTCTATCTCGCCAGCAACAGTCTTCCCGTTTGTTGCGAAATTCTCCTCAGCCAATGGCACAAATTTAATAATACCACGCTCTGGCTCAACATATAATTCAGTAGTGGCCATATAATTCTGGAGTAGTGATGCATTTCTCTTGTTGGTAGTTGGTTGCATTTGTGATGGAAGCCCAGTTATAGTCATAATATATGCAGGTTCGAAAGTTCCCGCTACGATAAAGCATGCCGAGTGTTTGAGAGTGACAAAAATGGAGGATTCAGGACGTTGGTAGCGCGTTGAAAGAAGATTAGAGAGACTTGTGAGAAGGGTGTGTTCTTCACGCATCTATTGTACAAAGTCTTAGCAGCCGATTTTGCATAGGCGAAGATGTAAGCTACACAAGAGAAAAAGAGGGAAAAGCTTACAATCACATTTGTTACCAGTTCACAAAGAACCATGCTATCCCTGCTCACTCTTTCTCTCGCACTCCCCGCCGGTTCTCGATATGCAAACGCATCACCGTAATACTGACTTCTCTTCATTGCCAACTGCTTTTGCTCTGGCGATTTGGACACATTCGAATTCTGCATATCGCCAGGAGTACCGCGTGAAATATCTCTAGTAATTCGTTCACCTTCCAGAATGATTGGAGAGGTCGACGACGATGGTGGACTAAGATCCATCATGTCACTATCGGCTGGTGAAGGTGGTAATTGAACGGGTAACTCAACGATCGATTTTACACACCGTGAATTACCGTTGTTGTCCAATACAAAGCCCTTTTGGGAACATATATCAACTACCCCTTTCGAAGGTGGTTCGTATTTGGTGGATATTCGCTCGTAACTTGCCGCGGTTATTGACATTGCAAAGGAAAGCTCCAAAGGTGTATGTTCGAATTCGAGAGATATTGTGAATGCGTGAGCCAAAGCAAGAGGAAAGAATACAGGGATTTGAAAGTAGATGTCTGATGTGAATGTTGGATATTGTGATGTGCGCAGTTATAAGACAAATCGAAGTATTGAAAAACTGAGCCACGAGATGATAGACCTAGAAGGTATGTAGAGGCTAGGGGTAGGCACCAGTTATAGAATGATTCCTCGGCTCTCCCCGAAGTCGTCCGTCCTTCAATATGAATGCATGCGATAAGAAGCGATAAGGCTGAATACTCGTACTTGGGATGAATGATTAGTCAAAAATGCAAGTCTGACGTGTAGTGATGATCAAAAAAAGTAATGTCAAACAGATGAATGTTGTTTTGGTGGAAGAAGAGTGAGATGAAGGGTAACAAAACATATGCACCATGTAAGATATGGAAGAGGGAGAGAGCGAGGAAGAGTAGCGAGGGTAGTAGACTAAAATAGTTTAATAGTTTTTGGCAGGTGCGGGCGGCACTGAGCGGGCGAGGTAGGTACTAGGGACGATTGAGACTCTCTTTTGGAATATCATGCAGGCCACAGCCAAAAGTTTAAAGTCTGTACGAAGTTCTCAGCAATGAGACGCACAAGATCTACAATCCCGGTTAAATGGGGAAGAACTTGACAAAAGAGGTATAGCATCTCGTCAAAAACCATGTCAAATTTGTCGATCTAAATCCTTCGACAAAGCGAGCCTTCTCGACATTAGGATTTAATTGATATTCTCTATATTTGATTGGTCCACCAGTGGGTGCACAGACTCACGGGACACTAAAAAAGAAAGCACAATTTCACTCTAAAAAGAGCAATTTTAATAATTCAATTAAAATTTGGATTTATTATTAAATTCTTTCGAAATTGAAATTTATAGTTTTCAAATATAAGAATTTTATATGGTAAGAAAATTGAATAAAAGGAATTAAGATTAAAATCTTAATAATTGATTATATAATAGATTATATAATTTCCCATTAAAATATTTAAGGGGAAATCGTACTATTTGTTTTTTAAGCTTAAATCTAATTTTTTTAAAATGAATCTTGATCATATTACTTTTTAATATTCGAAAAATACAATATATTAATTTAATTGATATCAAATTGTATATTAAATTTTAATTAAATTTTGAAGTTGATAAGTTTAAGTGTGAAATTATGCTTTCTTGTCACGTTGCCCCATGAGTCTGTGCACCCACTGGTGGTCCAGCTCACTGCGAAAAGGCGAGGAAATAGCTGAATCGGGTCTTAATCATCAAGCCTAGGAACTACGAAGTACATGAAGCTTGGAGATTTGACTGGAAATTCTTCCATCCGCACAGATCAGATCAAGGTTGGAGCTTGATTCCTTTCTACAATAGACTTCGAATTAGATACCTCACTTAGGACCTAGTAGCTATTGGCACGTACATAAGCAATCTGGCGAACAGGTATCTTTCCCACAAAATGTCCCAAAGAGACCCTCGAACCTTCCAATTGCGGATATAAGATATATTGTTTTTTGCCACGATGGTGAAGATAATCCTGCGTACACGAATAGAGATGACAAAAGAAAGTATACGTGGTCAAAGGTTCCAAGTATTGTGTAGATACCTGAGCAGGTACTCGTAATTGGTACTCGTTGATTAGGTAAGCCTATTCGGTGTATCGTCCCGTTTGTATATTATCCATATAACCATCCGCTCATCCAAAGGACTGTACTTAAGTAAGCAAAAATATACCTACTTCGTACTTTTACTGTCATCCATTACCAAACAGAATATTACAATTATCATTAGTAGAAACCTTCTTTCCCAACCCATCTACTACACTTCCCATCGCTATCAAACATAATTCCTTCTTCCCATCCACCCATCCACCCATCCCGTCCTGCAGTACCAACCTACCTGTCCCTTTCCGTGAAACGTCTCCATCCCATCCCATCACAAATCCCACCTACCACATTCAACCACTATATCTAGTATTCCGTATATTATCGGTCCCTTACCGCATCGGATACAAGAACATATATTATATTTATATTCACATGTACCTATCTTTAATTAATATTATTCCTCCGCTGGCTGCGCTTACAGTGCCAAGCCGAATGACAGAAAACTGGAATCAAGACTCTTCCATCTACATGCATATACAACACATCTTTCGTACGACGAATGATTATCAGATCAGCAACAGAAAGCTGGGAATTCAAACAATCGCCATAGGAAAAACCCCCTAGAACAGGAATCAATTCCAGGGCCTCACTTGCAGGAATGTACAGAGTCAGAAGTCGTGAAATGTTACGTGCATGATTGGTGACAAGTAGGCTTTGGGGCGGTGGCAGTGAGGAGTGACAGTGAGTACGGCATTTATAGTGATTCTTGGGTTGGGTGCGACATGGAAATTTCGTCCTTGAGGTTGTGTGATGGTGTGGGTGTGTGGGGGATTTACATGGTGCTGTGTTTTCATTTGTTACTCGGAATGAAATGCTAACTTATAAAAATTGATTCTGATGGATAATATATGTATTTGAATTCCAGGGGAACCAGTTGAATGCCAAAGAAAAATGTTTCTAGAGAGTAAGGAAGTTTTTATTGCTTACAACTACTTCCACAACAACAGCACATTGATCAATTTCTACCAAGATACCTACACATTTCGTGTTATACACGTCGCATCTACTCTTACCAAGAGACAATCCACTATATAGCTAAAATCTCAACACTATCAACCTCAAATCAGATACCTTGCTTGATCTTCTGTCGTACGATCTCATCTCTCTCCCAAATTAGCACTGTGACAGCTCCAATTGGACCACCTAGCAATGTCCAGATACCAATTTTAACCAATAATTTTCTCCTCAAGGCCCCAACTGGATTTCCCTCCCCTGCGAGCATCTCTCGGATCTGATATGAAGGGAGACTTGTATCAGGGTCTACAGCGGATTTTTCAGTCGTAGCATTACGATATAATAAAATAGCCCATAACAAGAGGGCTGTAGAGCCAGTTGCCAAATCCCATTGAAGAAATGTGTGAGCACCATGTGCTAAATCCGAGACCCGATGGGAAAGTGGAAAGGGGAAGTAGGGAACATAGATATCGAAGAAATTTAGACTAGCATAAGGAGCAAGCTTAGGTAAAATATCTGTAATGACCGAGGCGGGGATAAGAGCAATGAGGAGAATAGGAAGGTGCGTCAATACACATAATGTAAGTGTGAAGCGATAGACATGCTTTGCGCTGCTAAGATATGATGTTCCTTGTGGAACTGGTGCTTGTTTGGAGTCTTTTGCAGAGAGCTTCGGTCCAATGATTTGAAAGAATAAACGTAGTATCCATTGTATGATGACTGTCCAGATTGGAAAGGGTTGCCACAAAGCGATGAACTTTTGGTGGGTTTGTCCCGAAACTTGAGATGGGGCGTCAAGGCCCATGAGAATTGATGGGACAATGTAGGCTAGGGTAATTGAGAGTGGTAGAATCTTCAGATCCAGGGACGAGATGAGTAGAACGCTATTCGAATGTGTCCCTGGAAATGGTTTTGCGATTGGTGATGTTAAGAGGTGGATGAAAAGGTAGAGTGGTACTGTAACCGCATAGGTGATGTTTTGGAAGATTAATCCAACTGTTCCGATGCTGTGTAAGGTCAGCAATATTCCTTGCAATATACATCATCTGATTTGCCACCATCAAGGCATCAAATAAAATCAGGAATAGATAGCCCTGTGCTATGTCAAGAATCACCTACAAACTGACAGCCCTGCCCTTATTCCCACTCCTCAAACTTTCCATCACCAACAATGTCCATGCTGCTCCGAATTGTCCCAGTCCATAAAAACTATTCAACCATAATGCAGCATTTCTACTATCAACAACCGGGGCAAAGAACGTCACGAGAACAGTCAATTGCCTATCGAGAGCTCTGATCCCCGTATAATCCTTCAATAGTAAATATTTCGCATTTGGGAAAACGGCCGAAGGTGTTTTTTGTCTAACAAGATTGGTTATGTGTTCGAATGTCCCATTACTGCCTCCAATGACCAAGGTTCCGAAGAAACCGATGAGGGAGAGAATAGGAAGAGCGGAGAGCGTGATGGTACGGAGTTGGAGGTGGTACCATTTGATGGGTTTGTGACCGGTTAGGTGGGTTGGTGAGCGAGGGGATGTAGGTGGAGAGCCTCCCGATGCGTGTGGAGATAAGATGGACTGTCAATCTTGTAAGCTAAATGTTCTCTCATCTCTAACTGTTGCATACCATAGTGTTCAAATCATCAAGGATATCATCAAGTCATCAACAAATGAGTGAGGAATGATACAAATACTTGGGGATGGCAATAAACCTCAGATTTCGATGGGAAAATAGAAGACAGTTGGCCAAACAAAAACAAAGTTAGGAGAACTCCTTACCTTGCCATCATTATCAGTATTTTTTTTCTTTTTCCGAGTCAGACGAATCCATATTTACATATCTTATGAATTTGAGGCATGCTAGAGGGAGGGTGATTCGTGATGTCTTATAAGGTGGGCTGATGTGGGCCCGAGGCACCTGACTTGACCTTTGCAGGGATTGGGAGAAGGGATTTGATGTCTATCTTAACGACATCATAAATATTTGACAGCTTTTCATGCTTCAGACTCTTGGCCAAGATTTGGGTATTCTGCAATTCTATGGTGATTTGATCACTGATACTCGATCCGTTTGAATCTACCTTTACAATGGGCAATTAAGAATCTAGGACGTGGTGAGGAGCCGAAACTTGTATTGTGTGCAGCAGTCGGTACGTGGAGATTCACTTGTAAATCCGCAAATTTATAAAGATTTCCTACATATCCTATGTCTTTCCCTTGATACAATCAAGACCCTGTTCTTCTCTCACTTTGAGCTCGCCAGTCCCGAGTTTGTAGCATAACGCACGATGTTCTTGATTACATGTTTGGGATGAGTGAGGAGTCCTGATGGGGGAAAATAGGCTAGTGCTCGTGAATATTTGATTTTCGTGATTCTCTCTTGTTCTGTGTATCCATCATTTGTGGGTAGTTGTATGTTCTTGGGATCAGTACATCTTACTTTCTTACCTGCGTCATCTTGGTCGCATTTGGACTCTTCCGGGGGAGGCCAATTTCATTCTCCCCAGCGCATGTTATCTATGTTTGATCGCTTTGCACCCAGACAAACAATCCACGTATAGCCCGTTCATGAAATTAGTTGAGAAAACATGATGAAGATTGTGGATTATGAGCCTGTGGCCTGAACATCGCTGTCGATTTATGATGATATAGTGCTGATCTGGGACATTGAGAACACCATGAATGGTGTGTGCATCATATGACTTCTGTATGCATCAAGTAAGCTGGCTTCAGTAAATGTCTAGGGAATATTTTCTGCGCGAATTTTCTGCCTATGTTTAAGATGGCACTGTCATAGACACACCATCCATCGAAGGTGAAAGAGTCATAAGTTTCGACAAGTGATGTAATCTCCGTTACCACTCATTCAGATTTAATACAACATTCACAGTCCCGCCAATATCCCTCCTTCTGAATCATAAAGTTTACATATATTGTACAGGCAATTTTCTAATCAGACACTGGATGGGTAAGTTTCTTCCATTTAGAGCACTTAGAGTTCCCCTGTGGAAGACATTTGGTAGTGCCCGTCGCAATATCTTAATGTTCCAGTCACTAATATTGCATAATCTTTGCGTCAAGCAGAGTGTCCTGCAGTAGAGGGTGGAAACCAAGTATAACACACATTTGGTTCTTGCCGTTGGTATGATAGGTGGGCAGGGTGAGTTCTCAATTAGACTCACAAGATGCGCTCTCGTCTTCGTTATTATCTCATCCTCCAGCATTCGCGTACCTACCAACCAACTCAACCAAAAAGATTCTTCGTCGCATACCTCACTTGCTACAGGGTTGCCTGAAGATTAAAAAAAAGAACAAAAAAATGTTATCAAGAAACATCTAGTGGGGACCCCAGCTACTATTTCTGGTCCTTTATGGCCATTGAGCGGATCTATTGTCGCGGACCGACCCAAGATACCACTCGACCACCCAACTTTGTTGTTTCTTGATGGATAGATACGCGAGATGAGGATATATATAGACGAGTGGGAGTGTGCTAGTTGAACAATGGTGGGTGAGTTGGGGATAATGACATGAGATTCCGGAGGTGCAAAAATTGGAGGATCAGTTGAGCATAAAGTCCGCGGCTTGGTAGTATTTTTGTTTCAAATTTTGGGGCTTTGCTTGATGTTGAAAGGAAGGGAGAATGAGTGCTGTGATGTTTTTGAAGGAGGGTATTTGCAGAACGTTTACACCGCTCTCGTCGCTGGCCATCCTCGCGAGAATTTTTAAGAATGAGAGATTTTTCCGTTGCGCTCACAACTCTATCGGCTCATTGAGCTTGCTTACGTCAAATTCGAGAATGAGTCCAAATTTTCAGATGTGCAACAAAACTCTGCTACAAAGTATTAGGTCACGAGCTCAAGTGAATAGGTAGAATGGCCGAGAAGTTTCCACCCCTCAAAGTTCAATTTTGCACTGCCCTTTTGAATATTTTGCTTGTCTTGATTCACCTTCCATTATTTCTTCAACCACATCCTTCCTATCAATTATTCATTAACTTCAAGATACTCACACACTACTACAACTTCTCTCTGCCTCTGCCTTCACCAAGAGACACTCATTAGAAGTCGCATTTCTTGTTCACCTTCTCTATTCAAAATGCAGCAAAACAACAATCACAACAACTTGGCGAACCTCGAAATCCCAGAATGCTTGCGGATATCTGAGCGTCCCGAGGTTCATTTCACTCAGAAACTAGAATCCAATTTGGAAGATCGTACTTAAAGTGAATAGTATGCCACGGCCAGGTGCTTCTGATCTCCTGTTACCTAAAAACAAGATTATCACCGAGGCTAAGCGCACAATCGAAATTCACTTATTACAGCTGCGGGGAGATTGCCATCTGCTGCGCCCCAAGATTTGTTTATTTAATAGTCCAGGTTTCCCCTTCCACTTTCTTTTCTCAATCTCCAAATTCAACTTGCAGGTTGATCTAACAACTTCAAGTTGTAAGTCGACTTTCATCAATATTCGCGGTGCATCAGCAAAGATGCAATGACTTCGTGCGATCCACGATATGATATGGTAGGTTTGACTTTTATCTCCATCCTTTCTACCTTTGATCAACAACGTATGCCTTATCCCGCCCTGTCTTTTATCAATTGTTCTGGTTGACAAAATTGTTCGATCTTACCTTTCAACCATAGTTCAATACTGATTTGGAAACAGGGCATGGCAGACCTTCCTACTTTAGGACTGTGAACTCACACGGCGATGGTGTCCACGTCTTCTTTCAAATGGTATGATGCTGCCACCGAGCCAACGAGAGTCAATGGCTGCATTTCCCATCTGAACACAACATCTATATCTGCGAGATTCAAGCTGGTATCATACTCCTCACTCGCCGATATGGCTTCGCACAATCGAGTGCCGTCGTCTCCAGCTACCCGCCTTCCTATACATCGACGTGGCAGGTGGTCTTTGTCGGGCTCTCGTCTTTTCTGTTCGACATTGCTTTGTCGGCCTTTGGAATTCCCCATGTCACCTTCAAATATCTATCAAATAACAATGTTTTATTTCGGCGTAAGTCTCCACTTCCATTCAGTTCTGTATCTGAAAGTTTCAACAACTAACCAAATAATGAGTAGATGATCAGCACAAGCCTAAATTCTACATCCATACCATGAGCTCTGTCATACCACAAACTACGATGCCCAACAATCTCAACTGCACGGTTTCAAGACCTTGCCCCACACCGCTCTATAGTCTCGGTCTTTGTCCGGAATGACATGAAACTACCACCGACAAAGTTTAGTGCTAAAAGTAAGGCAATCCCGAGCAACCATTTGTGCTCTCTCCTGCACACCACGACTGGGACCTTTAGTCCGCTCAAACATGTGAAGTTCCCTAAGCTTCACCTTCGATAATTGGGTTTCTCTTCACCGAGTTGCTCGCCCGATGGCTGCATACCTAAGCATACTCTCTCAAGTCAGCTACATAGACCTCTTGAGTGAGTTTCTTGCCCAAGAGCTGTATACTCAGGTATGCTCCGTCAACCCGTTCTGGGGAATTTCTTGATTGAGTTTCCTCTCAATGTTTACATCACTCTGTGGTGCGTTGGCACTACAAAAAACTCCTCTTCACTTTCAGACCGTGTGCCTAGAAGAATATAAACAACTCATTGACGCATACCGAAAACTCTCAGTTCTGTGGTCATCGACACAGAAAATCCTGAGTACCAAATTCCCTCGTCTTTTCGAATATCTCAAGATCTTTGGAAAGTAACGATTTAGGATGTCTGCCATCAAGACTTATCAGGCTCTGAACATCGGTCTGGTAGGACGTTAATCTCCAAACGACAAGTTTCGCATACTGTGATTACAAAATACAGTACCTGCAGGACATCACTCGACAATTTTCGTTTGCAACCTATTTGCTGCTATCAATTTACTCGACGTTACCGAGAGGATGTTCGCGGATGAAGTCGCTTCATTTCCTTTCTCAAACCTATACTTCCTCTGGAGTGTGTGTTTACCTGGTCTTGTGATCCAAGTCCAGTCAAATCAACTACCTCGACTCTCTACGCAGATGCTTCTTTCCAGCTTATGGCTCATCCAGCTCAGCACGATAATCTGTATCTTAACAAGCGCTACTGAGATACCTCCACACCTCTCGACTGTGTGCTGTATATCCAGAAATATCACGAAAGAAAATCATCACAAGCATAGTGCTCCTTTCTTCAGCTTTGACATCAATTTCTCACCTGTCTTTTTCAAAATCGAAGCACCTTATGTCTCCCAGACTTAATGCCAGCTTCTCTCTTGTAACCTCTTAAGCACGATGGTATAAATGGCTTGAATCCCTTGATTTGCTCTTCTGGATTCTCACGATTACCTTCAAGAGTCACTAGAAGTGTGATTGCATCCATTCGGATTCTGTGAAACAGACGTGCTAATGTTAGAGTAGAAATATTATGCATTGATTTGCATAAGCGAAGAGAAAAAGTCCAAATCACTACTTCGGTAGCTTTTCCTCTCAGAGTCTGGTAAGATTAGGAGTTTCATTTGTTTCTGACAAAGACCCAGCTCTATTCAGAAGGATTGTCCTGAGCACGACTTTAAAAGGTTTACTTCCTCGCCCTTAGGGTGTAGACGCATTGATTAGGATATTTCGACAGGGAATCAACAACTCTCCGTATTCTATTCACTACTTGGGTAGCTTTCCCCCTCAGTCTTGGTACAACTTCGACTGAAATAGGCTTTTACTGGTGGGGTCCGCAGGCTCTACTATCAATTCAAAACTTCCAACGTGACTGTCCTGTGCACGAATTTAAAAGGCTTACTCCTTGTTTGTACTCAGAAGACGAGACACATTGATTTGGATATCTCGACAACAATCTGTACCCAAGTAACTACTTCGGTAGCTTTTTTCGCATAGTCTGAGTATGACTTTAACTACTAAAATCTCGACATCTTCTCTCGAAGTGTCCCTTACTACATGGACTTCCTCTCGCGGTCTGAGTCTTCGAAAGGAAATAATCCAATTGTCCGTGTTCGATGAGAGTGGTAACTTACGTCGTGATTCATACCTCATTTTTCCTTAGAAGAACGAGACGCATGAGCACGGATACTCTTCCAGTTACCATATCCATGCTACTGCTTTATCTGGCAACCCAATTAGGACTTTGTTCGATCAGAAGAAGTAGCTTCTTTTCTCCCGTACTCTAGTCATGTCTTCGTCTACCAAGAGTACTTCACTTTGGCGTTTGATTGTCTAAGCATGACGCTAAACTCGGTCTCCTCATTGATTTGGATAAATTCTCGAGTTACCATATTCAAATCACTACTTCGTTACAGCCATCTAGAAGTAAAATAGGTTCGACTCACCGCTGGATCACTAACATTTTTCAAATGACTGGTACAACATAAAGTACCAATCAACAAGTCATCTCTCCGTCTAGGCATTCCACTAAACTAGGATTTCGAGGATCCTCTTCAAAGTCCATTTGAGTTTACACTTCTTTACTTACGGCCTGGGTATTGGGTGGTCAAAATTTCCAGTGTAGCAAGCCTCGTCGAGCGCAGTAGCCTTCGACATCTCAAAGTCCTTGGCAAGACGTTAAAAGGCCATAAATTCCCTGTGGGACGACCACAGGACGAATTGATCTCGATGAACCTTTCTAAGTTTATAGAAATCACTACCTATCTAGGTAGCTTCTCATGTCAATACGAGCAACATTGAAAAGTACTGCCAAACGATGTACACCAATGCCCTGCTTTCTGGATCACATTTTAAACGAGAGTACATTACGACGTACCGCCCAAAGATGTTCGGCAATGCCAGCTTTCACGATTATACTTTCAATAGGAGCACATCATGACGTACTGCCATTTGATTTACGCCAGTAGCCGCTCTTAGGAACCTTTGATTAGGAAGGGTTCCGTTCTGGTACACTCCCTTTTCTCGCTCTAGTCTAATTCAACTCAACCTCATTGGGATAGTTCCAATCAATCCTGCTACTTCATACTAGTGATGTTCGATTGGAACAGTGGAGATGATCTCTGAGAGGCGAGACGCATTGTTTCAGATTCCCCTCTGTGGTCTGGATTACTACACACTTTTGTCGTCAATTTCCTCTGAAGTATTTGTTTGGTAGTGACTTAAACTACCACCTCTGATAATCTCTGAACAACATTCAATAGAAGCAACCATTCCTTGTACGGGCCAACAACGTATAGAATTGCCAGCTTCAGGAGCCTTAAATGGAAAGGTTCTGATTCTGAATTAAATAAACAGAACATTGTCACCTATTGTGACCCCTCCCTTTTAGGAGCCTTCATTAGGTAGACAAGGTTCTGCTCTGAACATCTTCCCCGCTCTTGTCCAAGCTCATTTCTCTACCCTTTACTTTTCGAAACAGCCTCCGCTATGTTTGATACATACATCGATCAGTTCTTCATTGTGTATCACAGATTCTGGAGAGACAAAGCAAGGTGGGAAGCGGGACGCATTGGTCTAGGTTCCTCTTTGAGACATGGACCACTAGTTCGGTAGCTTTCTCTGATATTTTGGGTCTGGGTATGACATAAACTACCACAGGTTCTCGATTTCGTGGCGGGACAATTGTCTGCGGCACCCAGTCAACTTTTGCGAAATAGGTTCATTATTCTCTTGAGAGATAATGCCAGCTCTCAACAACAATCCATCCTCGACTTCTTTTTTCTCTCGCAAATGCGTTCATCAAAGCTTTGAAAAGAGCACACGATTCCTCGTGTTCTCGATCATGGGGATGAACGCATGATTGGGTCTACTATAGGTGTATTCATTGTCGCGCACACGATTATCCTCCAAGTCTAATAATCGCCATGTGGCAAAATGAAGTATTTTCCCTACAGGGCACGAGATGTGTTGGTTCGGGACCTCCGGGCCATTATCTACTTTCGTAGGTAGCTTCTGATAATTCGTCGGGGATGGTATTGTTGTTGTTCTTCGATATTCCGATATGTAAATCAGTCAAGTGTGTTTGGCTTGACTTTAATCTTTTGGGTCTGATGGGTACTAACGGGATCTTTTCTTCTTTGGCATCCTCGCTAATTCGGATGGACAGGGTTTCGAAAAACCCTGTCTCGAAGGATGGTTAGTCAATTAAATTAGGGATTGCTATGAAAGGATAGGGATTCTTTCCAGCATAGTGGGCCAGTTTACGCGGTGGTCTAGCGTGGAAAAAGGAGCTTGTAGGGAATCTCTTTCCGGTAAATGGGCCATTAGGTACAATTCCGATAGCTAAATATAAAAAACTTGACTCATTGTCTCTATCTTTGCAAATGTGATACAATTTTCTCTATCATCTATTCGCTACTGCAGGTTTGTGTTCTCATTGTTAAACCAATCCTGTGAAAATGCTTACATCAATTGAGGTATGAGAAAAAGTATCTATCAATGGATACTCGAAATTCCGAGCTAAGGAGCTATTTCTTTTAAAAAGATAACGTCTATATACAAAAACGAAGCCAATATATTCCCTACACACCAAGCAAGTTCATTCAATTTTAATCAAACATTTCATCCCCAAATCACCCTGTCCATGCTCTCTCTGCATCTCCTATTGATTCCTCGATATGGAGATACCCCAATGACCCATACTTTTAGCATGGGCAATAACCTGATCTTTCGGTGTGAGAACAATATCGCTCTGAACCGTAGTAAGATTACCCAGATACTGTGTCACATATGTGATATCCTCCAAAGAAACCTCCTCGACTAGTTTACTCCATCCCAATTCCACAGGCAATCGTTCATTTTCTACACATAAATTAGTCATCTGCTTCGCAAACCAGAATAAAAAGAGACAAAACTCACCAATCCAACTCTCGACCAAAGTTCTATTCGCCGTAACTGCGAATTTATCCCCAAAAGCAACGACTGGCGCGGCCATCTCTCCAAGACTGAACGCTTCCGTGGTGGAGGTGAATGTAAAGTTGGGGTTTGTGGAGCGAGAAATAATTTGTCGGAAGAGTTTACCGTCGACGAGATGCTGACCGGTGAGGACCTCGGAGGGCCAGTATACTTTTGTGGTGTCGAAGATGGTTTGGTTGAAGACGTGGTTGTTGCCGAAGTAGGCGTCGGATCGACATATACTTCCGTCGTGTTCGAGGACGTTGTGGCGGTTCAGATCGTCGCTGAGGGTTGTTAGCTGTTGGGTTTGAGATCTGGGGGCGGGGCGGTGAAAGAAACTAGGATTGTGGGTACTTACAGAGTGAAGGAAGTGGTATTGGGGTAAGCTGGGCTAACTGGGACAGCTTGTTGAAACATGATTGTTGCAAGTGATTTGTTAAAGTTGAGACCATCATTGAGACCCTTGACAACATTGTATTCTGTGAGATTCCTGCCATCGCGGGGTAGGAACCCATGATTTGCTAAGGTGTTCATCATGGGACATGGACCGCGGACTATGAAATATTAGTATTCTGTAGAGAATGAGAAGACAAGGTTTGATGAGAAAGACATACAGTCGGTATCTGTAGGTGCTATCCAAACACCTTCAGTATCATTAACGGCATCGTGTTGGTGATAGTGAGCTCTAGCAGTGACCAAGCCAAAGGCTAGAGTGGTGGGAAGAACGTTAAATTTCATATTGACTAGAAGCAGTAATCGCGTGCTTAAAATTGATGTGATTGATGTGATGAATGTGAGTGAGTTGTGAATATTGTTCTAGAGCAGCAGATAGAGGTATTTATCATATTAACAGCTTCTAGAACATCCCCCTTCTCAAACAGGACTCCCTTTATCACAGCACCTCAACTCCATCCTTTCATATTAGATGAACCTATCATAAGACGGCCCGAAGAAACGACTCGCACAAGGCAAGCAACATAGTGAGTTTTGCACTGCCTGTGGTGATCACTGCCATCAATGTGGATCAAAGGACCCCAGATACCCACTACCAGATGAAGGAAATCGCTGGACCTCTTTCTTGGGTAATTTGGAAATTCAATACCGGACCTTATGCATATGTGAACGCCGTCAACGCTGGCTACCCGCAAGTAGAGCCGATAATGAAGTGTTTCTCGGACCTCGCATTCGTTTTAACATGCCACTTTTAGTCGTAGTCAAAGATATTAAGATGGCAGTTCCACAACTAATGTGAAAGTCGAATATCTAATAGGGGTTAGTGTATTTGCTGATCCGCATACTCGGAGAATATGAATTCGTTGCGTTCCCCGTGATTTCCATCCTCATGGGTCTTTTCTCGCTCTCGCACTCGCGCAGCCAATCACGAACAATGTATTCGCATAACGACGATGATGGCTGGAGGGGCCAAGTGAGGCTTTAGGTGACACCTTCTCAACTAGTTTTTCTCAAAAAGACTTGAGATGCATAGTATAATCTGTAGAATGTTCTTATTGCAGATCTGCTACACGTTACATGACATGGTTTCGCATTCGGATCAGGCATAATTGTCAGGCTTGAAGTTTTGCAAATGTTAAACTTTTGATTGGTTTGCGAGAGCATGGAATGGCTCGGACAGCAGTGAAAATGATGGATCCCTAGAAATAACGCCAGTGAAGGTGTTCGGTTTTGATAACAAGAAATAAAAGCTGCGGGAGAAGACGAAATATTCGTCATTAATATTCCGTGTTGTTGGCAAGCCACGTCTCTCACCATTCTCTTGCCTCTGGATTTCATATTCGGTCAATATTCCCAGCACACTGCAAACTGAAAAGCATACAGATCCTCATCAAAGTTCCAGACAGAAAAGCCGGGGTTTGATTTGTTCGTCTCCAGGGTCTTCTGTTTACTCCACGAGAACATTGATATCGGACGGGTGGGTCACGTGTCCACTCACCAAATGCCTTTCCAGATCTTGATAAGAAAGAAACAAATGCCGAACGCGAAACTTCACATCCATTCAGCTATCAAATACATGTTGCTAATCAATCGCGATGCGTAAGTATCATGGAATGCGTTTCGTGAACATTTACTGCACGTGAGGCAGAAGAAACTTTCGCCGTTGTCAAGTGTCTAATAGGTATATTTTACTCGCACTTTGGCTTCCTATGCAAGCTGATATCCTCAGATTATCACAAGATATCTGGTGAGCCCTCCAAAATCAGCTGTACGCTGCTTGCTGGTACAAAGAGAAGAATCGCGACCAGAAGAATGTATACGCCTCCATACTTGTCTTGCAAGGAAACACGATCTATCTCAATGTCGACAATCAATTGCTAGCCACAGCAATCTCACCCACACGAAACAGCGAGATAATAGATTTGCACCCTCGATTCCTTAATTTATCACCATCAACCCACCAAAAGCTCACTGCAACCCTCACATTGGTCCATACTCTAACCCCATAGCCGCCTACCCCTACATGCAAGCGCCCATGCCTGTGCGCAGCTTAAAATAATCTTGAAAATCATGTACCGAGAGACATTCTGAACCAACCATTTACAAATCTCGCAGGACGGGGACTGACATTTGGGGGTTTTACCGTCTGATTGGAAGATATGAGTACAAACATACCGAAGTGCACAAGCGCCATGCTATGTCGCCCTATCATTCTCGAAGCACTGCGTTTGTACCTTCAGCGTTATCCTCATCAATTCTGTTGGTTGAAGACATCTTCAACTATTGAATGCTAAGTAATATAATTACCTGATAGCAAGGAAGTATATGTACCTATTGAAGTGCCCATTCGATTCAATCCGTAGGATCGTCATTTCTGAGTTTATTTCGCGTTCTTATTGTTCAGCTTCTGGTGCTTATTGCATTTCTCATCTGACATTCGTTCTTTATCGCGGTACATCATATCAATACCTTCTTTCTCTCTTCTCCGTCATTCAATACCTTAAACAGCAAAAATGGCAGGTCCATCTCCATCCCCAGAACCAAAGCAGCCCCTCACTATCGTCACATCCTCCTTCCAAGAATTCACCCCCGAAACCTCCTCCTCCCGCCCTCGTGCAACGATGGCTCAACATGCCAACACGGCATTCATAGCCATTAGCGCAGTTCTTGGTCTTGCTGTCATGGCTACATCAGCAAACGCACTCCAAGTCTTCCACTCCACCCATCTGGGCGCTGAATTTCGATTGCCAGTCTGGCCTCAAAGTTTCGATTTGAAACCTACCATTGCCGGGGTCGTTTGTGGAGTTATAGTTTTCGTTATGAATTCTGTGGCCCTGGTGGGGCAGTTCGTTCCTGCCGTATGTTCCTGCCGTGCTTTCCCGAGTTGTGTATTTAAAGGCTAATTCTTTGTCGAACAGTTGAAGCGAAATCCCCTAGCTCTTCCTACTCTTATCCCCCTTGCTATCGCTCTTCTGGCTGCAGTTGTCGCCTCTGCAATCCCTTTCGATGCTTTGACTTCCTCGACAAAGTGGACTGTCCAAACGTGGAGTTGCCAATGGTCAAATATCAGTACATCTACCTCACCACATTGGGGAACCTTGTGTTCGGAAAGTAGAGCTGCGGGAATCATGAGTGTATGTGTGATCCCGTTTGAAGTATTAGCGGTAGCTTCGGTTATAGCTTCGGTGATGAAGGCAAGGAGAAATGTCCAGCCTGAAGGACACTGGGAGAGAAAGAGTGGTGCGGGAGAGATGTCGTGACTGGTTGGCATGAAGAAAGGTGTGGTCGGATGAGGATACTTTGCTAAGTAAGGTAGAGGTAGGGATTCCAGTGCTAGGCGCATATATTAGCGTGAGGGGGGGGGGGGTCGATGTAACGAATCCCTTTCATTGAGTATGGTGTATGGTTCTATGGGCGGCTTTGTGTTTTAACACTCAATGTATTAAAATGACATCAGTATCAGTGTCTATGGAAGAAATGTAGGATTGCGATTCAACTTACGAGGAGGAGAGGGACTTGGTAATATATTGTTTTGTTTCGATTTGACTAACATTTTTCTTCCCTTGCCGGGAAATTCGTTGTTTTTTTCTTTTCGACCATTAATGCAGCGAGTGCCTGTGAATATAGGAAGCACTTAGAATTGAGGAAACTAAATCCTAGAATCCCTCGAGTAAGGATGGTCAATGCATTGCATAAAATTTCCTCGATTTTACCAGCGCTCTAAGTAGAGTGAATTCCCGAAGCGGCGGGCTCATGCCTTGATCCAGATATCAGTCTATTCATTCGCAACCAACTGAATTTCTACAAAGAACTGGAGTAGAGGATACAGAATATTGTCATTTTAGTAAATTACAACTGAGATATACATATGATTCCCTGTCTATCTTGCCAGTGGTGGCAATTTCCCTATCCATACCTCATTTTTTCTCTCCCCTAATACCTTCTGTTTTCCCCCTATTCCAATATATTTACCTCACTTAATTGTTAGATCTCACTATGTCACCCAAGCTGGGCGATCCAGCCATTCTCAAAATTCTGCGCCATGGTGAATGTCGGCTAGTCTCTGTTGCATTGTCCCTATCAGGTTGTTGCCTTTCCCATTCCATGAGCTGATTATTGTATGGTTCAAATTGCATGGACTAACGTTTTCTTCTGATGGCATTCGATCTGGAGACCCAACCAGAAGATTGCTGCTGGACACTCGTACTGCTTTCTGAGGAGTTGGTGGTATCTGTCAGGCTTGGCGGATCAGAGTTGGATCTTTGACTGGCTTCCGAATCGTCTTCAAGGTCGCTTTCTTGGATGGTGTCCATTTTGATGCATCGCTCTAGAGCCCTGCAATTACGATGCACTTCTGGATAGCATTTTTTTTTAGTAACGGCAATCGCTGAAATATAGTTCTCTAGAATGCGATACTCTTGGAGCTCTTCTGGGGCTGAAGCTACTGTCGTGGAGGTCTCGTGGTCATTTTGTTGATTGACGTTCATTCCGCTTTCTGTGCTCCGACGTTCTTCGGCGGAGGGTTCACGACTAGAATGGCGACAAAGAGGGGTTCCGAAATCGGCATCATCTACTCCTGTCAGTAGAGCAGGATTTGCTTGAGATTGGATTAATCCGCTATTGAAGCTAATGAAGTTATTGGTGGCGATGTTTCCTAGAAACCCATTCAACGCAGAAGAGCCTTGGATGTCAACATTTGGCATTAGATAAGGCGTCGCGTTCGAATTGATGACTTCGTCAATAGAACCAGTGAATGCACGGCGTAATCTCTCTACCCTGGGTTGTCTTTTCAAGGTCGTGCCTTCAGGTCCTGAATAGATAGGTTCCCATGTGGGTCGAAGCCTTTGCGCACTTTCTGGGACTGCGTTCTCGCCTCTTGTCTCATTTGAAGCGTCTTCTATAATGGGCTCAACAGATTTGACAGACTTGGATTTAGAGATGAAGCAAATTCGTACACTGTCAATTCGATTCGTCATTTGGATGACTTGGGTTTCGAGTTCTTTGGGGCCATTTGCATTAGCGTCCAATATCATCTCTTCGGAATTCTGCCCCGAGCTGCCGGTTTGCTTGACGTTGTGCGCAGAGTCCATTGTGCCGGATTTATTGGTCGTTCGATTGGTCTGCTTTTCGTGATCTTTGGTGCTATTTGTGTGATCATTTACAACCCCTCTTTCAGCATTGCATCTGGATTCATCTCTGGTCAATGCGCCGAGATCTGCTTCATTGTGTCTAAGGGACATTCTTGCTTCATTGTCTTTCCCGGATTGACTATATCTTCCTGGACGATCAAGCCTCCCTGCCCATGAAGAGGCTTTTTGGCGTATCCACTTCAATGTTGACGTTTCCGGTTCCTTGGGAGGTTTCTCAACCATCTTGTGTATGATAGCAATATTTCTACCCACAGGCTCAGCTTTAATGATCTCTGGGGCCCTTTCCTCCGAGTACAATACTTCAGTATTAAAATTTGGATCAGGGATAATGGCGCCATTATGCGTCTCCTCCGGACCTTCTCCAAGTCTCTCTGGTTCTCTGGCATTGTTGCTATTCGCATCTTTCAGATGAGTGGTGGCTGCTGGATCCCTGGAGTTGGACTCAGCCCCGAAAATATTTCCCGAGGCGCTTGACTCATAGACTTCCAACACCTCTGGTTCATTAACCTTCTCATCTTTTCTTCTCTTGAAGCCGAATCGCAAGATTCTCTCACACAAAGATTCACTTGGTTCATGGTCATCTCCATCTTCATCGTCTGTTTCGATGTTATCGTTGTCAACGTCCTTGGTAGAACAATGCTGATACATCTGGAACGGAGATTTGCGGCCTTTCTTTTTCTTCATACCATTCTTCTTCTCGGTAAGTTCTCTGACCTTGACTTTGTTACCATGAGTATCGGTGGATGACTTAGTTCCCATCTGTCTTTTTTTTACATTTCCTGTTCTGCTCAATTGCTTTGACGATTGATCGGCCTCGCTACTATTGGCATTGAATTGTTTATTGAAGTTCGCGAATTCTTGAGGGGGGGTTTTAGCGAGATGACCAGAAACGGCATTCTCCTCAGTTTGCATTCCATTGGCTTCATTTTGCGAAAATTGAGGAAAGTTCTCAGGAGGTGGTGGCATAGTAATCGTCATCGAAGTTTGTTCGCTGGCGGTTTGGGAGCTTTTGTCGACCTCCTCTTGTGTTTTTCTGTTGTCGGCCATTTTGATGATATAAAACAAATGAGGTTTTGGAGATGCGAGTTAATGTGAAATTTGAGATAGATATGGAGTGATGTCTTGAGCAGATACTTGTAAGAAATTTAGAGATAGATTTTTTTTAGTCGGTTAAGGGTTGTAGGCGAACGTATATTCGTCGTTATGTAAAAGGCTCGACAATTTGAGTTGTTTAGTTGCACAACTCAAGATGAGAAATAGGAATGATTTGATCTTTATATAGAAGAGGAAATGTGTCTAAATTGGAAATAAGATGATGTTTGGTGTCGATTAAAAATTTCCAGATAGCTATAGATTTGAGACCTCGAAGTCTTCGATATATCAGATAGCTTTGTAGCTCAGCTTCTATGAACTGAGCTCCAATCAAAAGGGGAGAATAAAATTCGATAATCTGAGCTGGATGAGGATGTGGGGCATGATGGGTGACGGCTTAGATTCTTTGTTTTCTTTCTGGTGTGATTGCATACGTTGGTCGGCGTTGAGGTAGACAGAAGCACAGGTTTTGGGGTAAGAGAGAAAAGGATTTCAAAAGGTGGGAGAATGGGAAAGTAGGAATCTTAACAACCGGCTGTAGTGTGGAAAATCTAGCGTTTCTCTATCACCCTCTCAACCGTACTGATCAACATCACTCGTCAATCGTGTAGTAATGGTTACAGACTAAAACAAATTGAAACATCCTCAGATTGCTTTTTCGAGAGGTGATTTCGTATAGACTTTGCTTTTATTGGTCTACTTTCAGCGTTATCGCTCCACATGGGATTAAACTTCCCCCTAAATTTAACGGTCGCTAAAACTACCGAGTAGTGTCTTGGCAATTTGAAACGGCGGAAGATACAACCTTGAATGGAAATGGCAGTGATCTTGTTAAGTCACTTCTACTTTTTATCAATTGTTGGAATCGTAAGATTCAAATGTCGATTTAATTGAACCCGAGATGTCCTTCTCTATGATAGAAACCCACCGTTTCGTTCATTTCCCCGATTCTCATTTTCGGGGATGAATATGGAAGCTGCGATTTTAGTGAATCAGTACATAACGTACATTCTCAGCACCAATGCAATGCTTTTACAATTCTTCTACACCTACATAAAGAACCCTACCAATGTGGTCACACTCGAGAACTTGGCCTGTTGATCACTATCCTAAGTTGCCAGATTTCGTTTCACTCCTGATGACAAATTATGATACTGACGCGATAAAGCAACGACAAGAGGCCACGATGCGTCATGAATTACCATCCCATCGCTCATAGTCGATTATTTCCTTGAATCAAAGTGAGATTCCTTGATTTCACTATCTTATTTCCTCGGGATGTACGAAATCATGTCGCAATACGCTTGTTCTTTGCTCGAGTGGGGTATATTCATCATTTGACTTGCACGAAATATCGTCACATTTGCCTATTCTTGTATGCAAGGGCTACCGTATCGTACGTTCTTTCGAGTATCTCTTGTATCTATCGAGAAAGTTCTCAATCCATACACCTGACTCTCGCCTCTTCTTTCTTCATCTCCTACCTGAGATCTTCCCCACATTCCCCACCATCCCCAGCCCCAACCTTCCACTTTTCACCTGAACTTTGCTTTCACGGCAGTTTCATATTGCTACAACTACCCAAACTACCTGCGTCATCTCAGAAATCCTAACTCATGCCCAACATCCTGTAAATCAATTATCCACCACACTTTCAGCTCTAGATTCTGGAACGCAAACAGATAGTAGAAGAAGCACACACAATGGCCATTGACACACTTCATACTCATCTTCTAGCGCATTATTTGAGACTTTCTACATCCTAAATCTACGGGTGTAGATAAACCTACATCCCTTTGAGTGTTAATTTCCTTTCTAGTTTGATAAGAAATAGCATAAAATAACACCAAGAAACCAACCTCAACCCGTTTCCTCGTCTAGAGATACCACAATTCTCTCCCTCTCGCCGAAATTAATCCTTTCACGCCCACTAATCTTAATGATCTACACGCTAATTCCGTCAAGACCTCTATACCACATGGTATATCTGTTCATGCAACATGTTCCTACACCTTTACCACGCAGATGCTGAAGCAAACCGTAGGTGATAAACGCACTATGATTTATGCGTCATTATGCATAACTCTTAGATGTGCAACAAAGTCTAATTTTGCTACATTCTAATTTTACGTGATATCATTTGAGAGATCATTTGATATGGTTCTTAGTTTGGTACGCTAGGGGTGGAGTTATTTCCTGGTTTATTGCCGATTTGAGATGATGTACGTGTATTTCTTCGTACAGGACGTCTTCTTCTTGACTAAATACCGTAGTAAAGGTGTAACATGAGTTTCTGAGGCTAAAGGAGGTTATTTTAGTCGAGTTCATAGTCGGCTGCTATAAATAGAAATTGCAATGTATAAAGTTCATCTGATTATCAAGTTAGTTAAATCAAGGCAGAGAACTTTTGACTACTCCTATTCCGAATTCCTTGCTTTTGATGTATTCATTTCATAAGACCGTTGACTTCTTACTTATGCAACATTGGTGCGTCATCAAACCCTTCACAGTTAACAGAATCCATAAAATCCTCGTCATGATCAACCAAAGGACAAATTTTGTCTATATACACCCTCCAGAAACTAATGATAGGAGATTAAATGAAACTTGCAAATTTAGCTCACAAACACCCACTCATTTCCCCTATGCAAATAGAAATAAGAGATAACGTGAAAGATTTGTCGTTGACGCAATCAGAATACTTATTGTATTTCACCACTTGCGATATTGAAGACGGGTGGAATATCATGGTGTACTTAGATTGTAGCATGGTTCAAAAATGTAGAATACTTATCAAAGCAAGATAATGTTGGAAAGGGAGTTGCTTCTGATGGCAGAACTGTACCTTGTTAGCTAGACTCTCTATAATATCCTGAGACCTTTGCATTGATAAGATTTGGAGATACTCGTGTCTATGTTCTACTTGTTTACGACTTTAATTTAGAGCTTCTATTCATGTTTTGTTGTGTGGAAAGGATCGGGCCGAGGTTACTGCATACCGTTAAAACATACTACTGGAATTGAACTTGATAATGCGTTGCAAGGCATTGGCAATATTGTTATGTATCCTCTAAAAATGCTGTACATCCGTAGAGAAATCTATTAGGAAATATCACAGTGCAGTATCATATCACTTTAAGATGAAGAGAAACCTCACTTCACTGAAATAATTGTATTGTAATTCAACAAAGTTCCTAGTTACTAGACATATCTCAGCAAGCCTTTCACCGAAGAATCAATTACCTCATTCCTTTACAAAAGAAGTCCCTCCTAGCCACAATTTTAAAGAAGAGACAAAATAGCCAAGTCAATGGTAGATATTCCGCTTGCATAACATTGACCCTTTCCATCTAACCTTTCACTTTCTCTTACCACTTCATGCATTTAGGCACCGTTACCATTGTACGCAATGAGGTTTGGGCTTCCAGAACCAGGGCTGGTGATAAGATTGGCGGTAGCCAAGGCCTTAATTCTAGCTACAACAGCAGCTGGTGTTGCCAAGCCCTCAAGAGCAATCAAGTAAGCTGCAAGACCTGCAACGTGAGGAGTAGCCATTGAAGTTCCGCTGATGGTGTTGGTAGCGGTTGTGGAACCAATCCAGGAGCTGAGAACGTTGACACCGGGGGCGAAGATGTCAAGAACGGCACCGTAATTGGAGAAGGTAGCTCGGGCGTCATTTGCATCAATGGCACCGACTGTGATAGCGTTAGGGGTGGAGGCGGGCGAGGTGTTGGCTGCGTTTGCCTGGTTGAAGAGTTAGCAAACTTAGTTTTCCAGGACCGGAAATTCTTCATAGAATAGAACTCAAACATACATTGTCGTTTCCAGCAGCTACAACAACCGTTACACCAGCAGCAACTGTGTTTGTAACGGCACTGTTCAAAGCAGTGGATAGACCACCACCAAGAGACATGCTTAGAACAGACTTAGCACCACCGTTGGTAGCAACCCATTGAATACCAGAAATAACACCGGCGTTTGTTCCGGATCCAGAAGCATCAAGAACCTTAACGCCAACGATCTTTGCCGACTTAGCAACACCGTATGTGCTACCACCAATAGTACCAGCGCAGTGAGTTCCGTGACCATTCTCGTCTGTGTTCTATCTTATGTTAGCAAATTCTTTGCCTGATTGCCACTACGTTTGAACATACAGCTGATCCAGAGACAAAGTTGGCTCCCATGCTGGCACGTCCACCAAATTGAGAGTGAGCAGCGTAGACTCCAGTATCAACAACATATACGGTCACACCACTTCCGGCGGTAGAATCATAGATGTAAGTAGTAGTATCTTGTGCACGGTGAGAGATGCGACCTAGTCCCCAAGTAGCTCCAGTTTGAGTCTTCAATGCTGAAGCGTAGACCTTTTGATCTTTCTCAACGTATGCAACCTAGTCCAACTGTCAGTAAAAGTTAATTATTTCGTACTTAGAATGCATACTTCTGGTTTGTTAGCGATCTCAACAATGCTTTCCTCATCAGCCGTGATCTGGTATCCAGCGAAGTCGTGAATCTTGTAGTTTGCACCAACTGATACAGCGTTGTCACGTTTTGCGACGATAGCGTTAACAAAGTCAACATGGCTAGCAGTCACCTCTGGTGTGATATCAGTCTTATAGACGACAATATAGCTATCGGCGACGATATCCTTAACGACGGTGGTTGGTGTCTTAATCTTTGGATGAGGCACTTTGACTGCTGGTGCACCAAAAACAGGAGCAATGGCAGCCGCGAAAGCGGTAAGAACGGTGAGATAGCTAGCCATGATGAAGTTGCGGTCAAAAGGTTATTCTTAATGAAGAGTTAATGAAGAAGATGTTCCTGATGATAGAGTTTCAGAAGGATACAGAGGCAGTATTTAAATCAAAACGGATGAGGCTCTTCCTGTACATGCAAGTTGCATATGCACCTTATAATACTCACTGTCGACGATGATTCCGAGCCGCGAGCAAGAT